GAACTTGGATTTCATGTTGAACCACCATAAGATTGTATAAATAAATTTATTTAAGAAATATTGGACTAGTATTGGGCTTTCATTTCTTATGTAGGCCGAGCATAAAGCCCGTTTATAAACTAGGCTCGTGGTGTTAAATCATCACATTAAAAAATATTAGACTAATATCATTTTATTCCATTTAATTATTTCTTCTTCTTCTTATTTTTTCCAGGCTTCTACACCTCCACTGGTCAGGGTTAGTTTTTTAATGGCAGCCAAATTGATTTAAATTCCTGGAGGCATGCATCCAATGGACAGGTCCCCTTCTTCATTGCGACAAACAGATTACTGGAGCATTCTTTCTCCCCAGTGATTAGAGGTTGTTACTGTTGAAGAGAGGTAGGCCATTTCCTTTATCATCTTCAAATTTTGCAGCCAGTTTTTCATCGTTTTGGAGATTATTGAACACACACAAGCTATGGATTAACCGAGTAATTTGACAGAAAACTCTAATGCTTAATTTTACTAAGATCTTGCTGGAGCATTCGTGGAATAATGGAAAGTAAAGTTCAGGCTTTTTATCAATTGTACCTGTGATGTGCCACAATGATAGCAATTGCATTGCCGTTGGAAATAGGCCTGCTTATTTACATATGAAAGCAAAGCAAAGTAATTCAGTCAGAAGACAATCGTCATGTTAAATGAAAGGAACGAAATTCTCTAATCAAGTCCTAGTGGTGTGGTACTAAAGCTGGCAGCTTTGCTCAGCACTCCTGCCGATTATCAGCCTGTTCAGTTGACATCTCAGGATTCATTCCGTGGCGTCTACAGAAGGAAGGGACTTTTGGGGTCATACGAAACCTAAGAGGTGGCGGATCCCTTTCCCCGTCTCCCCACAGAGCATAGGCTTCTTCCCCGTGTGCTGCATCGTCCCCTATCTCAAGATCATCTTCATCCATTCTCAGCTTAGTTATACGGCTTATCAAAATGCATATTAAGCTCGTCACCACCACGTTCCAAGCTGTTATGAAAAGTGCTCCTAAGAGCTGGTAACCCAATTGGCGTAATCCACGCTGGAACTTTTCTCCACCGTCAACTATTCCATACACAAAGCCTGGACCGGGTTTTTTTGGTTTATAGAACATATCAAGAAGGTCAGGCTTGGCAAAGAGGCCAGAGAGAATCCCTCCTAATAAACCAGCTACTGCGTGTGTGTGAAAAACTCCCAATGTATCATCAACCTGTTGGAAGAATGCCGATTTCTTGTGCAAAACCATCATGGTGTACCATGGTATCGAACCAGACAACGCTCCCATCATTATCGCCGCCCACGTACCCACAATTCCTGTCATTAATACAATTTTGATCCTCTTTTTAGTAAGAGAAAAGTTCTCTAATCTGGTTTTTAGGCCAAATATAAAAGAGACGAAAAAGGAGTAGGAATAAACTACCTGCCGCAGGTGTAATGCAAACGAGGCCAGTGATCATTCCCTGAACAGCACCAATGACAGAGCTTTTAAAGTAGAAAATGATGTCAAGGGAAAGCCATACCAAAAGGCTCATAGCAGTGCAAATATGGGTGTTTAGTATAGCAAGTGATGTAATTTGGCTTGCTGCTAGTGGTGATCCCCCATTGAAACCACTCCACCCCATCCAAAGAAACCCTGCACCTCCCAGCATGTGTATTATGTTGTTTGGTGGAAAATGTTGTCTATCGTGCGAATGCCTCGGTCCCACCTACACAGTATATTCGAATCATTATCCAATTTTTTCAGATTTCCAAACATAAAATATAACACGAATGAATAACCGAATTAGACAGTCGAGGTGTGGTCATGTCAAATTAACCGAATTAGACAGTCGAGGTGTGGTTGTAAGTATTATGCCCTAGGTCCAATCAACTTTGGACATAAATACTTTTATATATAATTAATGCAATTAAATGGCAGATCTCAATTACCAAGTCTTTGAGAAAACCAGAGCCCCAAATAGTATATGCACCAACTGTGTAGGAGAAAGTGAGCCAGAGTGGAACAAACAACATCCAAGCATAAAAATTCATTCTTCCCAGCAATGAACCAGCCAAAAGTATAACAGTGATGGCAGCAAAAGCAAATTGGTAGAAAACATAATCAGCCGTGGGAAGATAGTAAATTTGATATTTGCTAAGCAGAAACTTTTCAGTCATGGCTTGATCAGGCTTGCCCAATATAGGAATCATAGGAGTTCCAAAAGACATACGGTAGCCCCACAGGATCCAACAAATCAAAACTGCAGCAAAGGCATAAAGGGCCATGAAAGCAGAATTCACTGCCCATTTTTTCTTAACCATGCTGCCGTATAATATCACGAGTCCTGGAACACTTTGTAGTCCCACCATGGTCGCTGCCGTTAGTTGCCATGCGTTATCTCCTTTGTTTAGCCAATACGGTGACCCCTCGTCCGTGGTTAGTCCGACTGGGAGGGATGGAGAGTTCTCATTCATTGGAGTGGATTGGAGGATGAACTTGTTTTTTAGTTTTTGGAGGTTGATAATTCTTGGCTAGCTTTGTGATGTTTGCAATACATAGATGAAGTTTTG